TAATTACTATGTAGCGATACTTACCCATCCATTTATGAAACGTTAAAAATTAGTACGTAGTTAAAGAAGAATAAACTTTTTTTTTTTTTTTTTGATAACCCAAACCTTATTAATAATAATATTAATAATAACGAACATCTATTTTGAACAATTATTTTCTTTGTCGAAACAAAAAAGAGTAAAGAATGTCATTTATTTGCCCCAACCAAAAGAAACTTTAATACGGAAACAATAGGTCTTACAAAAACGGTTACTGAACTTGAAAGCTAACAATATATCTGTAAGGTAAACCATGTATAACGATAAATTTTAACTTACTTTAATAGGTACATAGTTAATACAGTAATGGTAAATACTTATAAGGATTATTATGCCCGGCTAACAATAGATGTGCATTGCTAGGAATGAGCGACGGTTTCCTTGATTTTCATATGTAAGATCAGCAATATAAAATTTAGGATATACGATATATGACTGTATGATAAGCACATTTGATCAAGTGACCAACTGCCACACAAACTCTTTTTCCTACATGCATATTAATTTCTTGGCGTTAATAAATAAGATTACGTATTAAATAAGTCTCTAACCTGCTATTGGCCAGATGTCGGGGTTTTTTTTCTTGATTTTCATATGTGATTATCAATTAATACTAGGGATAGCAAATGTTTTTTATTACGTAATTAAAAACAGGTGAAGATAAATTAAATCAATATTCGGACTTTAATCATCACATGTTTTAAACAGGTTTTTTTACCATCCCTAATTAATACTTTTGGAAGTACAAAGGTTGACGCCGATTCTGGTGTCATTAATTGACATTACATTAACAAGAATTTCTAGAATGTCACGTTCGCTCCTATCTGCTATGTCCTATTGTTGTAGATGAAGCACATCATTTTTTCTCTTTAGGGTCATAATACTGTATCTATTATTATTATATTTATATTAATAACTTTAAATAAAATAATCGCGTCTAATCACAAATAAGGTAATTGTAGATAAAAAAAAAAAGATGATTGCAATGTACACTGTATTTAACTGTAGTATAGAAAAAAAATTTTGTCATAGTACGTGCTTATTATTATCTACATTCACCATTTGACAAAAAAATATAAAAATCCACATTTTTTGCTTTCATCTTGTTTTTTTTAAGGCAAAAAATCTTTAATAAAAATTTAAATCACTATTATGAGTCAACCTATAAATCAAGTAATTGGAGGTCTGACTTTGGCACCTCAAAACGCTAATATCCCTGTAAACGCATCCTTTGATAATCTAAAACAAAAGTATGAAATTTTAACTAAAGGTGTAGTGGATCTGTTTACTGAAGCACAAGAAGCAGAAAATCAGACAGTTCAATCCCCGGACGATATTATTTCAGGATTACGCTTTTGATAATCAAAATTTATGAAAATTATGTTTTTTTTTCATTAAAGAATTTTCAAAAAAAATGAGTTTAAAATATGCTTCTCATTTTTCTTTAATCTTTAATTATGTATATATTTACTTTTATAAATCCTCAACTATTTATGTAGATTATAATTTAAGTTTTAAATAGAATAGAATATTATCCTACTTTTTTTATAATTGTCACTATCCCCACAATCATTATAAATATCACATATCGCATCACATATCGCATCACATATCGCTTGTGGCAATTTGCGTTCCTACAAGACATTTAAGAAATCATTATGTATTCTATTAAAACGATACTGATATATATATTTTGATTAAATAAAGTTGGCAAATTCGGCAAAATAAATGCTAGTTGGTGCATTAACAGGTTAATGGTTCAATACTAAAAGTAGTATTCAATTATTGAATCCCATAATTTCTTATTAATATATGCAATTTCTAAAAAGAGTAAACAACATACACTCTTTCATGCATGCAATTCGTTTACAGGTTTTCTTGACATTTTAAACTTTATGATAATTATGATTAAAGAATTCCTTCAGGAAGTAAAACTTCATTTTTTAACATGTTCGCGATATGATAAAGAATATATATTTTTTAAAGTATTATTTATGTATGTTACTGTAAATACATACTGATTTAAAACTCGGAGTTATAATTAGTGTTCTAATAGTTTCGATAATGGTACACATGTACAAACGTTAAGGAGAAAACACAAGATAGACGATGAAACAAACCTTAATAAAAAAAAACTTTTTTTTTTCATGTGAAAAATACTTTATAAAAAAAAAACTTTTATCATGTGATCATGTGTAATTTAAACTTAGAAAAATCCAAATATTTGTGTTTACCTGTAAGACAAGATAGAATCGATTTCACAAGCAATGTCCGTATTAATATCCAAAAGGTTATTGATGAAAAAACTATTCTTTGTGTGGATAGCTTGCCATATGATAACCCTTCAAATCATGGAAATTGTCTGATTTGTGTAATAAGGCACATTCGAATTTTAAACATTGGTTTCCAATGGAGAATGAGAACTTCGAAACTATTGCTTATCGACAAATTATGTGGTAAAAGAAAGCATCCACTGTTATTGAATTGCTCTTTTCTATATTAATTTTTTTCCTGCGATTTTAGGTAGTTACTATAAAATCAGCGATTGTTGTAGAATGATTATTCAGAATAATACATAGGTGCTCTTAAAATTTGCAAGATTGATACATATATACATATCGATCATATCGATATTACCACACCGTTTTTTGATTCTTTTATTTGAAAAAGTATTTAAAATGAAGCAACTAAAATTAGGGATCGGTTAAAAAAATTGGAAAACTGTGTAGCGATAGGTTGTACAACTTTTTTTTGCTTCATTCGAAATCGTTGGTGGAACTCTACAGATATTTAGATGTTCATTATGCAGTAAATGTTTGATATGTTTATTTGGTTTGTGCCACTTTTTTTTACTTATAAAAATTATACGCGATTAAATCGAAGATCATTGTTTTGTATTGTATTGCTTTTAATTTGGGAAAAGGTTTCTTGTTTGGGTCAATTTATCCCCGATAGTCTCCATACAAGGCGTTGTATTAATTGTCTTTTGTTCGTTAGTACATTAATTGGAAGTATGCACCATAACACTACTTCAATATGTAATATACTTAATGTCGCGACTGAAGCTGAAAATTAGGGTCCTCAATTTAAAAATATCAACATTACCAAAATCCACTTATTCAAAACTAATTCTAAATCCTAATTTCTGAAACACAAGCGTCATTAATTTACTAGTGTTACTTATTTACCTTAAAAGGTCCAATTACGGATGTTGGCTTGAATAATATCAAAATAAGTACGTATAAATAATCAATTGACTTTTTTCGAAAGTATTTCCTTACTTTTATATTTCTGAGACTTTGTTCAACTAAATGAACTCATACAAATACTGAATTTCAGTGATAAATAAGGCTTATAAAATAGTGCACAAAAGTTGTACAAAATTTACCAAAGAAAGTTTTATAGATGTATCATTAGAACAGTATATTATTGAAATAATAACATGAATTCAAATTACTGATCAACATAGATTAAAAATTACGCCTCAGGCGTTATTTATAGTTTAAATAAAAAATAAAATAAAATAAAAAAATACTAATAAAAGAAAAAAAATCAATTGCCGGCATAAGTAAAAACAGTGTTATATATGTACAACAACGGTTAAAATAATTACAACGTACATATCATTCAGAGTATATACAGTTAGACGTCTCTAAGTGCACGCCCTTGGGACCACACTTTAGCAACGTGCATTTAGAGAATAATAAGAAAAAATGCATTTATAGAGGTCAAGTATATA